GGTGTGTGTGGGGTTGTGCAGTTGACTTTGTACACAAATATGTACACTGACTGAAATAAAATCAACACATTTAGACGGTGGCTCAGATGTTAGCACGGTGGACTCACAGCAAAAAGTTTGCTGGGCTAGTTGGCCTTTCTGTGTGGAGTTTGCATGTTTTCCCCGTGTTGGCGTGGGTTTCCTCCTGGTGCTCCGGTTTCCCCCACAGTCCAAACACATGCGCTATAGGGGAATTAATGAACTAAATTGGCCGTAGTGTGTGTGTTTGTCTGTGTGTGTGTGTGTGTGTGTGTGTGTGTGTGTGTGTGTGTGTGTGTGTGTGTGTGTGTGTGTGTGTGAATGTGAATGCTTGTGCATGGGTGTTTCCCAGTACTGGGTTGCAGCTGAAAGGGCATCAGCTGTGTAAAACATATGTTAGAATAGTTGGCGGTTTATTCCCCTGTGGCGTCCCCTGATACATAAGGGACTAGGCTGAAAGAAAACTGAAATGAATATTAACTGTGTGTGTGTGTGTTTGTGTGTTATAGGGGTCCGTTCCTGGTGGCGATGGGTAAGTCGTGGCACAAGGATGAGTTCACCTGCTCTCACTGCCGCAGCTCTCTGGCAGACGTGGGCTTCGTGGAGGAGCGGGGGTCCGTGTACTGTGTGCTCTGCTATGAGGAGTTCCTCGCTCCCACCTGCTTTCAGTGCCACAAGAAGATCATCGGAGTGAGTCACGCACACACATAAACAAACAAACACACAGGAACACACTCAAGTGTGTGTGTGTGAGAGTCTCTGTTGATCAGTCCTCCATCATTCCCAGCATGCCTCTCTCCTGACTGTGGGAACGAGCTGTAATCGGGATCATAAGGTCCGCTAAAGCTCAGATGTGTGACACTTCTGGCGTCTTCAGAAACACTCGCTGAGCTCCAATAATGAACAGTCACACACACACACTTGCTCTCTCTCTCTCTCTCTCTCTCTCTCTCTGAGCTGGAGGATTGACTTTTATCAGTTTCTACATGGCTGATCCTCCTGAAGTGCTGCAGCTCATGCTTTAATGCATCAGGACAGTTTTCCTCACGCATACACACACACACACACACACACACACGAGGTTGCTGGAACAGCTCAAGAGCTTCATGTTGGAGTGTGAAGAGCAGGTCTGTGTTCATAATTAGGTTATTCACACTTCCTGAATAAACATCAGGTAAACACAAACACACACACTTACAAATGTACACTTACAAACACACCAACTGAAACACTCAAACAACACACCATCACACACTCAAACACATCAACAAACGTACCGACACACACACACAAACAAACACACACTCAAACACACCATCACACAAACACATACAAACACACACACTCAAATACACATTCACAGACCATCACACACACTCAAACACACCATCACACAAACACACCAACACACACTCAATCACACCATCACACCCTCAAACACACCAACACACCCTCAATCACACCATCACACCCTCAAACACACCAACACACCATCAAACACGCCCTTGCACCCTCAGTCACACCATCACATCCTCAATCACATTATCACACCCTCAATCACACCATCTCACCCTCAAAAGCACCATAACACCCTCAAACACAACCTTGCACCCTCAGTCACACCATCACACAATCAATCACACCATCACACCCTCAAATACACCATCACACCCTCAAACACACCAACACACCCTCAATTACACCATCACATCCTCAAACACACCATCACACCCTCAATCACACCATCACACCCTCAATCACACCCTCAATCATGCCATAATACCCTCAAACACACCCTAACACCCTCAATCACACCATCACACCCTCAAACACACCATTGCACCCTCAAACACACCCTCACATCCTCAATCACACCCTCAATCATGCCATCACACCCTCAAACACACAATCACACCGTCAAACACACTCTTGCACCCTCAATCACACCCTCACACCCTCAATCACACCCTCGCACCCTCAATCACACCCTCAATCACACAATTACAACCTCAATTAAATCATCATACTCTCAATCACACCATCACATCCTCAAATACACCATCACACCCTCAAACAAGGTGATAATGACATTTATATAGTCATAATATATGAAGATATATATTTAATAGTGTGATATTCACACACAATAAAATATTTTAGACTTTAAGACATAATTATACTTTTTAGGAGACACAAGGATAAAACCACACAACAATAAAAACAAATGTGTGTCCACGTTTAGTGTTTCTAGCCTGAGCAGCAGTGAGTAAAGATGCCAGTTGTTGGTCCACAGAAGAGTTGTTGCTAATCTTCAGCTTTATCTGCTAACAGGAAGTCATCAATGCCCTGAAGCAAACCTGGCATGTGAACTGCTTCCTGTGTGCGTCCTGCAAACAACCCATCGGCAACAACACCTTCCACCTGGAGGACGGACAGCCGTACTGCGAGAAAGGTCCAGAAACGCACACAATACTCAAATATAATGATTTAGCTTCTACACAATTCATAAAAAATACTGTTCATTATGATTTCACACTAAATGAATCATTTGACACACTTTCCTCAACATTCTACACACAATCCCCCATAATGACATTGTGAAAAAAAGTTTTTCAAATTGTTACTAATTTATTAAAATAAAAAAGCTGAAAAGTCAGATCTACATTTCTACTAATAATAGTTATATCAGTAGGTACAATACTATGATAGGTACATTAGTTGGTACATTAGTTTTGTGCCTGAAGTCAGCTACTCGTGTTGTTTTACTGCAGTAAAATGATAATTAAGTGATGTTTCTGATGATATCTGTGCTGTGCTTGAAGTGTGAGCTCAGTGTTGTTGATTTTGCTGTGTTGTTTGGTCTTTATTATAGATTATTACTCCCTCTTCGGCACCGGCTGTCATGGATGTGACTTTCCCATTGAAGCAGGAGACAAGTTTCTGGAGGCTCTGGGCTTTACCTGGCATGACACCTGCTTTGTCTGCGCGGTATGACAGTGCGCACACAAAAACACACATACACACACACAAATAAAGTACTTTATCTGAGCACACTGCACCAACATACAAACACATTCCAACACACCATAACACCCTTAATCACACCCTCAATCACACCATCAAACACACAATCACACCCTCAATCACACCATCACACCCTCAATCATACCATCACACTCTCAATCACACCATCAAACCCTCAATTACACCATCACACCCTCAAACATACCCTCACATCCTCGAACATACAATCACACCCTCAAACACACCATCACACCCTCAATCTTACCATCACACCCTCAATCTTATCATCACACCATCAATCAGACCATGGCACCCTCAATCTTACCATCACACCCTCAATCAGACCATTACACCCTCGACCTTACCATCACACCCTCAATCAGACCATCGCACCCTCAATCTTACCATCACACTCTCAATCAGACCATCACACCCTCAATCTTACCATCACACCCTCAGTAAGACTATCACACCCTCAATCTTACCACCACACCCTCAATCACACAATCACACATCACACCCTCAAACACACCATAACACACTCAAACACACAATTACACCCTCAATCACACCCTCAGTCTCACCATCACACCCTCAATCACACCATCAATCACTCATCACACCCTCAAAAACAACATCACGCACTCAAGCACATCATTACACCCTCAAAAACACAATCACACACTCAAACACACCATCACACACTCAAATGCCATCACACACTCAAACACACCATTGCACCCTCAAACACACCATCACACCCTCAAACACACATCACACCTTCAAACACACCATCACACACACACACACACTCAAACATCTAAAGTGTGTTCAGACACAAAACACGTTCATCCAAATTATTTTGCATTTCAGTTTTACATTTGATCAGCTCCTTGTTTCTTTTCTGAAAAAAAAAATAATGTTCTCTATTAACATTTAAAGCGTCTTAAAGGGACAGAACATGAAAAAAGCTCACTATTTATTCTCCCTCAAGTGGTTCCAAAGCTTTATGGATTCTTTATGTTGGATACAAAAGAAGATATTTTGAAGAAAGCTTAAAACCTGTAACCATTCACCTATATAACAGGATAAACACATACTATTGAAATCAATGGTTACAGGATTCCAACATTGTTTTAAATATCTGATTTTGTCTTTAACAGAATACACTTCAACATTTTTAAAACAACTAATAAGAATGTAGAATGATGGCAGAATGTCAATTTTTGTGGCTTTGTACACTTTCAGCTTGGTTTAATGTGTGTGTTGTTGCTGTTTGACCTTGAAAGAGTTACAAATCACAAAGTGTGGGTGTCTCTGTATCAGTAACACTGTTTCTCAAACGCCTCTGCTGGAGTTTTCTTTCTGAGCCAGCTATGAGATCACAGAGCTCCAGACCTTGTTCGAATTGTCATGTTTAAAGTTTAAAATATGGAGTTCTGTGAATGACAATTTATTTAAAATCATGATGTCATTGAATAAATTCATGTCTTGTAGGGTTGCCAGGTTTTTTTCTTTTTTGCAGCGAAACTAGCACAATGGCCAGTCAAGACTAGCCCCGTAATGTTAAAACTTAAAACACAGTAGATCTTACATCATATTATTAGGGGTGTTCAAACTAGTCACGTTTCAGTCTGTATAACGGTTTTAGGGTCACGGTTGTCGTATGTTACCGTATATGCTAGGTTTAGAAAAAAAAAATTGGCTACAGACAAACACAATATACCTATTAATTATGTAGCAACATTATATAAATAAAAACTTAAACAATTTTTTTCACCTGCGAAAATCAACATTTAAAGTAAACACCTGGATATATTAGGTGTATTAATAACAAATATTATTTACAAAACTAAAAACATAAAATAGCTGGGTCATATTTACATTCAAGGTCATTTAGGCTACCTTCATAATCGGCATTCTTGGAAGTACATTATCAAACTGGAATAAAGTCCCGCCCCCTAAACAATATTCAGTTTCAGTTGGAAATACATTATCATGGAATAAAACCACACCCCCTACTCAATATTCAGTTTCAGTTGGAAATACATTATCATGGAATAAAACCACATCCCCTACTCAATATTCAGTTTCAGTTGGAAATACATTATCATGGAATAAAACCACACCCCCTACGCAATATTCAGGTTCAGTTGGAAATACATTATCATGGAATAAAACCACACCCCCTACGCAATATTCAGGTTCAGTTGGAAATTATCACACTGGAATAAAGCCCCGCCCCCTACTTCAATGTTCATTTTTAGTTGGAAATACATTATCATACTGGAGTAAAACCCCGCCCCTACTTAATATTCAGTTTTACTTGGAAATACATAATCATGAAACAAAGCCCGCCCCCCTACTTAATATTCAGTTTCAGTTGGAAGTACATAAACATACTAAAATAAAGCCCCGCCCCCCTACTTAAAAGTCATTTTCAGTCAGAAGTACATCAACATACTGATTAAAAGCCTCGCCTCCTCCCCAGTAAGCTACCAACCAGAAGTTCCCAGCATCCTTCATATGCATGCACCAGAACGTAATGGGTAATTTTGCAATCTATGGGAAAAAAGTCTTTACTGAAATGAAGCATCAGCATTTCCAACCAAAAAAAAAATTTGAATATGCAAATTTGTAGCAAAACCTCAACATTTAGAAACAAAAAGGCACTAGAAAATAATGTTGTTGTCTCTGTGGTTTTGTAGGTTTGCAGCACGAGTCTGGAGGGTCAAACTTTCTTCTCCAAGAAAGACAAGCCACTGTGCAAGAAACACGCTCACACCGTCCAGTTCTGATGATGATCCTCACCTTCAGCACCGCCGTGGCCTTCTTTCACTCTCTTCACATGTGTTTTAGTACAGAAATGTGTTTAGCTTGATTTCCCTCAGAACGCTGATCATCATGTGACAGAGACCGCTTACAGAGTACACATTCAGATAAAGTGCTTTTAGAGATCATCGTGAAGATGCAAATGTTCTAAAATAATAAAAATAATTCAAATGTTTCATTCACTTTATTAAATCATGTTTAGTGTTGGAGCTGTGTCCAAAAAATAGCTTGAAATTGATTATGCATTGATTCTAAGCTTAGTTTTAAACAGCAGACGGTGCTCTAGGTTTGCTTTTGACCGCAGACAGCGCTCTAGGCCAGTGTTTAACAGCAGACGGCGCTCTAGACTAGTGTTTAACAGGAGACGGCGCTCTAGACTAGTGTTTAACATGAGACGGCGCTCTAGACTAGTGTTTAACAGCAGACGGCGCTCTAGACTAGTGTTTAACAGCAGATGGCGCGCTAGGCTAGTGTTTAACAGCAGATGGCGCTCTAGGCCAGTGTTTAACAGCAGACGGCGCTCTAGACTAGTGTTTAACAGGAGATGGCGCTCTTGACTAGTGTTTAACAGCAGATGGCGCTCTTGACTAGTGTTTAACAGCAGATGGCGCTCTAGACTAGTGTTTAACAGCAGACGGCGCTCTAGGCCAGTGTTTAACAGCAGACGGCGCTCTAGACTAGTGTTTAACAGGAGATGGCGCTCTAGACTAGTGTTTAACAGCAGATGGCGCTCTAGACTAGTGTTTAACAGCAGATGGCGCTCTAGACTAGTGTTTAACAGCAGATGGCGCTCTAGGCCAGTGTTTAACAGCAGACGGCGCTCTAGACTAGTGTTTAACAGGAGATGGCGCTCTAGACTAGTGTTTAACAGCAGATGGCGCTCTAGACTAGTGTTTAACAGCAGATGGCGCTCTAGACTAGTGTTTAACAGCAGATGGCGCTCTAGGCCAGTGTTTAACAGCAGACGGCGCTCTAGACTAGTGTTTAACAGGAGATGGCGCTCTAGACTAGTGTTTAACAGGAGATGGCGCTCTAGACTAGTGTTTAACAGCAGATGGCGCTCTAGACTAGTGTTTAACAGCAGATGGCGCTCTAGACTAGTGTTTAACAGGAGACGGCGCTCTAGACTAGTGTTTAACAGCAGATGGCGCTCTAGTTTTAAACAGCAGACAGCGCTCTAGGCTAGTGTTTTTAACTGCAAATGGCGCTCTAGAGACTCTTTTTTTTTGTGTAGATGGTGCACTCGGCACACTTGTAATTCGCTGAAACCTTTCCTGTCAGTATTAATGACTATTTCAGGTTAAAGCGGTGTTCGTATGAAGTAGATGCAATAATGCACAGGTGTCAAACTCAGTTCCAAAAGGTCCGCAGCTCTGCACAGTTTAGTTCCAACCCTTATTAAACACACCTGATCAAACTAATTGAGTCCTTCAGGCTTGTTTGAAACCTACAGGTAAGTGTGTTGGAGCAGGGTTGGAACTAAACTGTGCAGGGCTTCGGCCCTCCAGGAATTGAGTTTGACACCCCTGCAATAAGGGTACAGCTGTTTGTAAAGCACACAGCGCCATCTGCTGGGTAAAACTAAGCTCAGAATTGATGCACGAAAGTAGCGATGCCACTCAGAATCAATTTCTCAAACTATTTGTTTGGCCACAGCTCTATTCAGAGTGGTTCTGGGTGTGTTTTGAGAGATGCAGTGTTTTACAGACAACATTATTTTCAGCATTACAGAAGTTGTTGTGATTTGAGCAGATAGTATTTAAAGAGCCATTGAGTGTGCGGTGATGTGTTTCCTCCAGTTTCTCCAGCCTCACACACAGCTCTGTTTGTGCAGGTATATTTATTGAGGCTGGATGGAGGATTTCTGGGGGTTTTCAGGGGCTTTGCACATATTTTACAGCACCGACAGCGTCAGTGCTTTCAGAATGGCCATATTTAATATTTCGTGTTGTTTTTTTAATCTCTGCGGATCTATGTCTGAAAACCCTATTTGTGCTCAAATGATTGTGCAAAAACATTTAATATAAAAAAGTCTGAATTATTAGCCCTCCAGTTAAATATTAATTATTTTATAATTTAAAAAAATACATTATATTACAATTAAAACGTAAACAAACCCATTTAATGCATTGAGTACACCAGTGAAGCAGAATGTGAATTTTCCTTCATTTGCTCTCTGATGTCTACATTTTCCATCCAGTCACAGTATGCACATTTACAAAAATCTGATTGATTCATTTAAAACATTTTGTTTTAGCTTTTGCTTCTTATCAATAAAACAAACAAACAAACAAAGTTACATAAAGTTATAAGTGAAAGCCTCTAACCCATCCCCATCATTGTCCCTCTCTTCTCAGATAGGATGGTGGGTCAAATCAAAGTTTACCATGGGCCAATTTTAGCCCGCTGGCCCTAGTTTGGGCACCTCTGGACTAAATATTCTTCAAGACACTAGTATTCATCTTAAAGTGACATTTAAAGGCTTCACTAAGGTTATTAAGGTAAAGTTAGGGTAATTAGGCAAGTCGTTGTATAACAGTGTTTTGTTCTGGAGACAATCCAAAACATATATTGCTTAAGGGGGCTAATAATATTGAGCTTAAAATGGCTATAAAACAATTTAAAAACTTTATTCTAGTCGAATAAAAACAAATAAGATTTTCTCCTGAAGGATAATGATAATGATGAAGCCTTTATTTGTCACATACACTTTTACATGTAGCGAAGTTGGACCCCCCGACGATACACAAACATCCCACAATGAGCAAAAAAATAGGCAAAATTATTAGTCCTCCTGTGAGATTTTAATTCTTTTAAAAATGTTTCACCTGTTTTGCTTAATGGAAGTTTTTTTTTCAACACATTATATACAATAGTTCTAAAAACTTCTTTCTAGTGACTAATTTCTTTTGTATCCGCCATGATGACAGCGCATAGTATTTTACAAGTTATTTCCAAGATACTAGTATTAAACAGTGTCATTTAAAGACTTAACTAGGTTAATTATGTTAACTTGGTGAGTTTGGATAAATGGGCAGACTGTTGGATTAGATACAGCAGGTAAAACGTGGATATTTTTCTTTATACAAAACAAAACAAATAATATTTTAAAAATATTTTTGAACTAAAACTTTTACTGAACAAAAAAATAAATAAATCTGTTTTGATTTCAGACAAATAAAAATAAATGAGACTTTCTCCAGCAGGAAAAAAAAATTATATTTATATATATATATATATATATATATATATATATATATATATATATATATATATATATATATATATATATATATATACACAAACACACACACACACACACACACAGTATATACACTCAATAATTACATTTTGCAGTGTGTTCAAACTACTTATTTAAAATGAGCTGAATCAACACAATTCTTGAGCTTTTTTGGAGGGACAACTTAATCATTTAATGTTCAATCCACTTAAATTTGTAAAAACTAAGATGTTAACATAAAGGGGACCTAGTATGTAAAAAAAAAAACACTTTTATAAGGGGTTTAAATTCTGGATTTACCTCAGTTGTGTGTCAGCAGTGTGTGAATATATCCAGATTCTAATGGTAAACAGTCATTAATTAGGTTGTTTATAATCAGACATGATTAATAAAACACTTTGATTGACATTCTCCCTTTGTACGTGTCATCAGAGTGGGAAAGCCCCGCCCACTAGCATAGGAAGTTAGTCCAGTTTTTAATATGCCACTATGCTGACACGCAGGCATCTGTAGCTCCGCCCTCTTTTATAAGAAGCACAATCTCATTTGCATTTAAAGCGACAGTCACCAAAACGCCACAACTAGGATCAAAGCCTAAAAGGGTCAGTTTCAGAGAGTATAAACATTATCTGTGTGGTATTTTAAGCTTAAACTTCGCACAAACACTCTAGGGTCATCAGAAAATTGATTTAAATTTTGTCAAAAGGGAACATAATAGATAGCAATTCCTTCATGTGGTCCCAACACAAATCCGTGGCGTGGAGTCCACCATTTGGTGTAGTTTGTTTTGCTAATCTTTCGTTTTTAAGCTCATCCTGGTTGATATTGTGCGTCTTTATTCCCCTGCAGTGTCCTGTAATGCCTCTCTGAGACGGGACGAGTAATAAAACACTGTTGTTATCGAATGTCGAGCTGTGATTATGCTTTTCTTTCCGCATGGACATCACTAATGTAAAAGCCATAATGATGAGTGTCGTGGTGTCGTTTGCGGGACACTGGAGACCATCTTTTGGCCTCTGGGTCCCAAACCAGCAGACCACCACGACCACACGTGCTCCTGCTTCATATCATATCACAGTATTTTCAGACGCGGGGAAATGGATATCGCCACATACTCGCCTGCTTCCGGTAAAAGCTGAGTTTGATGGGAGATTGCAGTGCAGGTGTATGATGTGAGGCTATGGGGGAAACAAAAGTTTAACTGCAGAAGTCATTCACTAACACAAGTAATAATAATAAGCTACAACTTTTGTGTTCTACAAGCGATGCATGAGTGAAATTGACTTTTCTACGTTAATAAAAGATGACTACTCATTTTTCCACACTGTAAAAAAACAAAACAAAAAAAAGTTTTGCTGTCTTCATTTTTTTGTTCAATCTAATGAACTTTTCTAGTCACCTCAACTTACATTAGTGGTGTCCACACTCGGTCCTATAGGGCCAGTGTTCAGGAGAGTTTAGCTCCAACCCTAATCAAACACACCTGAACAAGCTAATCAAGCTCTTGAATACAACTTGCAGGCTCGGATTGGCTAATCGGGAGGACCAAGAGAATTCCCGGTGGGCCGGTCCGTTTTTTGGGCACAATGGCCGGTGTCCCAACTCTAGAATCTGTTGCTCTCAGCAGTCACACTTTTTAAATTAATTTATTTATTTGACCACAGTCTTCTTATTCATTATCTTACCGCAGCTTATTTATACATAACCAGCCTGCAGGCTATTGATGATATAATTCAGATGAGTCATCTTTCAATACATAATAGGGTATATGCCGAAGCATGCTAATAGGACTTTTATTTTGCCAGTAACCTGGGTTAAGCGCTTCCGGCGAATTGAATGGCAATGTAAAATCTGGTGCGTTTAAGGTCTGTTTTCTTTAAAAATCAGCGATCTCCACTAGCTGAGTGATATCCGATTTAAAGTGGGTCTCAGATTGTACAAGATGCACTGCATTAAATTACATTTCCCCCTGCCATGTCTTTATAATAAGAGCATTTATTTTACCCCAGTATATTCAATTGAGCTTCTGCACTAGCCTGCCGATTCTGACGGGCGCATGCGAGTAAACAGCTTTTTGTCTCGTTTTACGCTTGAGCAACCAAATAAATGCTAAAGTTTATTAAACTGAATGTATTTTAATGACATTACAGCATCGATGCTGTATAAGGAACCGTATAAAATGGAAAAAAGTTCACAATAACAGGTCACCGGAAGTGTATCAGCATGGGAACAGCACTAGCTCGGCATATACCCTATTGTGGTTCAGTGGTTAGAATGTTAGATTACGACGTAGCCGACAGGGGTTTGATCCTCGCCCGAGGATGTTTTTTTTCTTCTTCATTTTTATTGTTAAGACATATAATACTGTAAGGGTTGTTGAACATTTAAAGTTCTAAAGCAGCTGTTTTCTCAAAAAAGACGTGATATTGTAATTAGAAACTGAATTGGAAATGACCTTATTTTAATATAGTCAGTCGTGAACTGAGGTGGGCCGGTCTGAGGCTTGAAACTCCAGGCCTGAAAAGGAGTCCCACTCTGGCCCTGACTACTTGTAACTTCTAGGCAGGTGTGTTGGAGCTAAAGTCTGCAGGACACCGGCCCTCCAGGACTGACTTTGGACTGACTTACATCAACAAATATTCAAAAATAATAATAAGCTACCGCTTTTGTGTGAAATAAGCTTTTCTACATTGAGAAAAGATGCACAAACGGATATTTTAGTTGAATCAAATTGACTTTCCTAGTCACCTCGACTTACATCAGTTAAACATATTCAAAAGACAGTCAAACAAATATTTAAAAATAATAATAAAGAAATAAATAATAGTAAAAAGCTACAACGTTTGTGTTCTATATGCATGAGTGAAGTGAACTTTTCTACATTAAGATGCTGCTGCTGGTGGTGGTGTAAAGTAAGGGAGATTTTCTTGGCACACTTTGGGTCCATTAGTACCAATTGAGCATCAGCGCCTGTGCCTACCTGAGTATTGCTGCTGACCATGTCCATCCCTTTATGAGCACAGTGTCTCCATCTTCTGATGGCTACTTCCAGCAGGATAACGCAGCATGTCATAAAGCTCAATCATCTCAGACTGCTTTCTTGAACATGACGATGAGTTCACTGTACTCAAATGGCCTCCACAGTCACCAGATCTCAATCCAATAGAGCAGCTTTGGGAAGGGGTGGAACGGGAGATTCACATTATGGATGTGCAGCCGACAAATGTGCAGCAACTGTGTGATGCTATCATGTCGATATGGAGCAAAATCTCTGAGGAATATTTCCAGTAGCTTGTTGAATCTCTGCCATGAAGGATTAAAGCAGATCTGAAGGCGAAAGGGGGAACAACCCGGTACTAGTAACGTGTACCTAATAAAGTGGCCGGTGAGTGGAAGTGAATGGCTGTCAGTTTTCAAATATTCAAAATGTTCTGTTCATACACAGCCGAGCTGCTTAGGCTGGTTTAAGCTGTTTTTTTAAGCAGGGAAATTAATGGAACGTCATTATTTCATTTACCAGAAACAAAAATATAATATTAATCATTATTCACAATACATACACAATTCATAATTGTTTGTGTGCCACCCCAAGATTTGGTGTGGCCTTACTTGGCCACCCCTAAGAAAATGTTCTGGGGGCGACACTAGCCATCAATGTATGTCACGTGGACGTCAAAGTTTAGACATCACTTTTGTTTGTGCCCGCGGAGTGTTGAACAAACAAACCTCACATACACGGAAATCGTATTTATTCAGCTTATTGTTCATTAAGAAAATCAGCTTATTGTGTGTGAGGTGAAGATGAGGAGCTCGTGTTGAGGTGTATTTCTCTCAGGCGTCAGCGGTTGGAGCCTGTGCGCCTCACACACTTACGCACACACACATACACACACACACACACACACACTGGAGGGAAGAAAAGCAGTTTTCCTCCTTGAGTTGGGCAGAAGGAGTGCGTTTGGGCTGACAGAACAAACAGCATCGAGACCTGAAAGTGTGCGAGTGTGTAGGCTGTGTGTGCGCGTGTGTTTATGTGTGCGCGCATCTGAAGAGGCTTTCTGACGGACCGCAGAGAATGAAGGTGAGGGTTTATTTATTTATTCCTTCACGGAGCTCCAATCCGCAGTGTTCATCGGTAAACTCGCCGTCAATCTGTCCTGTGTTTGTCCGAATTCTGGTGCTCGTGTTTGGGAAGTTTCGGCGTTTTCTCCTCAGTCAGCTGTCAGCACTGCAGACCGACTGGATTTAACGTAAAATAAGACTAACGTTAATCTGTTCTGGCGGACGGAGAAACATCCACTGAGGTAAAGTTGGGTTTATATCCGCACGTTCAGACTTTCTACTTAATAATGTCATTTCAGAAGAGTGTTATTTGCTAAATAGGGACATTGTATTAGCAGCCATTGAGGTTAAGTTGGTTTTATATTCGCACATTCGTTCATTTGTTTGTTGTTTACCACGCTAATCTGAATATTCAATCAGAATTAGCATGTAAGTATGACTTCAAAACAACATCACTATCTACACTATCACTATCTAATTGACTGTAAACATGGTTGTTTTTTGATAGTCATTGGCTGCTAATATAATTTCCCAATTTAGAACTAGCAAAGAATCCTTTTCTGAAATTATATTAAGCAGAATGTCTGAATATCTAAATATAAAACCAACTTTACCTCAATGTAAACAATGTATGGAGCTGTCACTGAACGAATGTGCAAATTTAAAACCAACTTTACCTCAGTGCTCAGTTGTATAGTGCTAATGTTGTTTTGGATTCATCATAGACAATTTAACGTTACTGTATATTCAAATTACCAGTAGCGGTTCTAGTTTAAATGCCACCCCAGGCGAAACCACCTCAAAAATCCATAGAGGTAAAGTTGATTTTATATTCAGATATTCAGACATTCTGCTTAATAATATAATTTCAGAAAAGTGTTATTTGCTAGTTCTAAATTGGGAAATCATATTAGCAGCCAATGACTATCAAAATGCAACCATGTTTACAGTCAGTTACATAGTGTTGATGTTGTTTTAAAGTCATACTTGCATGCTAATTCTGATATGAATATTCAAATTAGCATGGTAAACAATAATAGAGACAGTTAAATGAACGAATGTGCGAATATAAAACCAACTTCACCTCAATCAAACTTACCCATCTCTCAAGAAATAAAGACACTATGTGGTTGATTTCATATACATTTAAAATATTTAAATATATTATTTAAATATATACATTTGAAATTAATTATTAAAAATATATTTATTTATTTTCAATAAATATAAGAATTTGTTTATTATTATTATTATTACAGTACAACTATTATTAAAAAAATAATGTAAATCAATCCTAAAGGTAACTAAAAAACAATGTAAAGACACAACTAGAGTAATATTCTAAGACTTTTGCATGATTATTAATTAAGACAGTTCTATAGAATACAAAATAATATATCTGTTTTATAAAATTATCTGTTGTCTTAGACCCAACTCATGGCTGAGAATTAATATCATGATGTCTTAGTTACCTCCCTGACTGATTATTCCTCCTTTCTGGTCATAGCCATGCTTGATCAAATTATCAAGCACGAATGCATCAAACAATATAGAGGTAGCCAATATAGAGACCAAGTTGTCACTGTCAAAGAATAAACAAATGTGGGAATGTAAAACCAACTTTACCTCAGTCATCATATGTCCTGAAGGTGTTTTACCGGTTATTAATTTCTACGTTAAATTGCACAACACTTTATAGGGATGTGATTTATTGAGCTTCATCAAGGCCTTACGAAACATTCTGTGTGACTGTGTTTGTAGATGTTGACAGATCTGAACATCATAAATTCCTGAGGAGCTTCTTCATTCGTCTGCAGATTGAGGTAAGACATGAATTCTCATATATTATATTGGCTGGTTCATCAATTTCAGTAGCATTTAAATGTCTGGGTCAGGGTTTATGAAGTGAATTAACCGCACTTGTAAGCACAGATTTGTTTGTAATGAAAGTGTTGTTTTACTTGAGATTTGACCTCTTATTAAAAGATAATTGCGAATATTTCCCCTCATATTGGTCAATTACACTGATAGCCACGCCCCAAAACTCACATCATATTTTATTTAATGTTGTATTTTTGAGAATGCGTGAGGTGTATGGCAGGTTTTTACTCAATATACTGTGTTATACTTTATGTAGAGTGTAGCTTGAAATTTTAAGGAGCTTGCATTGGGAACAACTGTGTAAATGAATGTTTTCAGACAGGTTTTCCTTGTCTGCCATTGGTGGGTCAGACAGAAAGCTTCGCCCCTAATCGTACATCATTGGTTGATTCAGTAGCGGATCAGTGTTTTGAAAGCCTTGCAGTGTTTACAATGTAATTTGGGTTGCGAGGAAAGTGTTTAGCATTGATTAAATGACACACTTCACATGTTCGTTTATGCTGTGGTGCTTCACATGCATCATCTGAGTGTTAATGAGCGCTGTGTGATTTGGAACCTCAGATGAAACTCATTACAGTTCTGGGTTCAGACTTGGGACTTTGTTAATAAATTGGGTAACATTGGGAATAAAGTACTAGGTTACAGTGATTGAACTGAATTGAATTATTCTGAATAATGTCTGCATTGCTGAATTTCACTTCATTATTTTCATGTTTATTAGTGCGAGTCTGCTTTTGATCAGTCTGTGTTGGATAGAGCTCTGCAGTAGGACTGCACTATATGTCGAAACATTGTCATTATAACAATAACAGTACAGTATATGCAAGCATTTGTGTGTTGCATGCATTTGGTCTGAATCTGGTGGTCTTGCACTTGTCTGAATTAAACCCAGTGGGCCAGTGCTGGTTATATTTCACTGGAAACGTGTCAATGGCGCTCTGTGTTTACCAACAGCACAGGACATAGGGCATTTGATTAAATTATTCAAAAAAAGGTAATTATTCGCACTCGATTGCTTCGTACTGTTTTTATCTTTTTATTTTTCTTACATTTTACGAGTGATTAAAAGACAGATGTTTCGGCACAAAGCCTTCCTCAGCGTGAGATTAAATTAAAAATATTTTCACTCGATTACGATTAATAAACTATTTATTTGTTTTCTGCCCTCTCCACGCCACCTACACTCGTCATTGCTACCAAACTGACCAATCACATAGCTAGCGCTATGCATCGTCACAATGTGTAGTTAAATTTTTTTGAAGGGGGTCAACGTCGGCTTCAGTCACAGCGAGGGGTAAGCGAACACCAGAACCATACACTGCGCTCAGTGCAAAAGTGTAAACAGAGGTCAAGTGGTTCCACACGCAGTAGGGAAAGTAATAAAAAAATGACGTGGAAATATTTGATCGATTATATGTTATTCGATAACCGTTTTTAAGGTATACCGCGGTTTAGAAAGGTCAAGGTTTTAAAGCCGTCAAATTTTTCTGCAAAACTCTTCCTAAGGTACGTGCACGATTTTTTTTAATTTACGTTTTTTGCAGAAAAGATATCTAAAGCTGCCGTTTTAAATCTGTTTTTGTAAAAAATGAAAACAGCAGAAGTAGATAATTCATTCAGTCTGACATGTTTACTTTTTTTTATATTTAATATTTAATAATATACAATTTGTTGGGGGTTGAGTGTTGGGCTAACAACCTCAAAATTAGATGTTGCGAAACACTAACAAGGTGCAGCTAAATATCATATTCAATATAAACAGTCCTGGGAGTAAGAATTTCGTAAATAAACGTATAGGGATGTACTGATTATTTTGGCCACCAAAAATGGCATTTCTTACAAGAGAAAAATACGAGTAAACACAAGATGAAAAAGCACTTTCCCTCCAGCGGTTATCAGTGCACAGTTTGAAGTGGCTTTCTCACAGGATGCCGAAAGAGCTGCGCTATGAAACCCATTCATTTCAATTGCTTGCAAGGGTGGTTTATAGCTTTGCATACAAAATCGAAATGAAACCCATTCATTTCAATGGATTGTACTAAATCGAAAAACAGCAGAGCACATCGTCGCTAGCTTGCGGACATGCTACCTGCTACAATCAAAATGTATTAATAATGTTAGTGATGTTTAATATTCAGTGATTTCATTAATAAACCTGTTGTTGGGAGTGCAGTGCACTATCCTGTGCTTCTGAGTGGCTTCTGTCATGTCTCATCTAACAGTCTATCACCACACACACACACACACACACACACACACACACACAGAGAGAGTGGTTTTGTTTGTATAATTTTTTTTGCTGTTTATTTTTGCATTTACGAGCTTTACATTTTGTCAAGAGCTAGTTTACATTTGTACTTCGTTGTATGCTACTAAATGTCAACGTTATTTCAACAATACTGTGTGTGTGGTGATTGACAGAAAATGTGTGTGTGTGTGTGTTTATGCGAGTCTGTGTTTGGTGATGGACAGATGCTGCGAATGTGTGTGTCAGATGAGGTTTGAGTGTGTCTGTGTGACAGATGAGGTTTGAGAGTGTGTGTGTGGTAATGGATGGATGCTCTGAGTGAGTGTGTGTGTGTGTGTTAGATGAGGTGTGTCCTGCAGGTCAGATCTGACCTGATGCTGTGTCTCAGGGCTCTTCTTCTTCTGTGTTGTGATGAGCGCAGTGCTTGAGTATCGAGTGTCTGATAAGCACTTCTGAGGGCGCGTGTGGACGGGGGCTGTTATTGAGTGTCAGCGGCTACAGGAGTCATTTATACTGCAGCGTAATGAGAGAAAGCCATTACAGGGCCGATTTGTGTGTTTTGGGTGGGATTTCTAAAAGCCTGCGTGTGGGAAAGTGCTCGTTTTGTCGGCCGTGTGTCTGTGTGGTCTGGATCTGGCGGCCCGGGGCTTGTCTGAATTAAACCCAGCGGGCCAGTGCTGTTATACTGGTTATATTTCACTGGAAACGTGTCAATGGCGCTCTGTGTTCACAGACAGCTCAGGACACCCTTGAGAGATTACTGACCAGCTTTGACCAGCACTGACCAACTCAGACCAACTCTGAGCAGCACTGACCAACTCTTACCAGGATTAAACAACTCTGACCAGCACAGTGTAGCCCTCACCAACTTTGACCAACTCGGACCAACACTGACCAACTGACCAACAGTGGTTGTCTCTGGGCATGCAACAGTCTAGGTCAGGGGTCACCAATCCTGCTCCTGGAGGGCCGGTGTCCCTGCAGGGTTTAGCTCCATCTTGCCTCAACACACCTGCCTGGATGTTTCAAGTATACCTAGTTAGACCTTGATTAGCTTGTTCAGGTCTGTTTGATTAGGGTTGGAGCTAAAATCTGCTGGACACCGGCCCTCCAGGAACAAGTTTGGAGACCACTGGTCTAGGTGGTTCACTTCTTTGGGGCTTCTCCACACCGTAACTCTCCCAGATGTGGGAAAGACGGTGAAGGTGGACTCATCAGAGAATAATACATGTTTTACATTGTTCACAGCTCAAGATTTTTGCTGCTGGCACTGTTGAAACTGATGTTTGGCATCGGCACAAGTGACCAAAGGTTTGACTATAGCAGTTGGCCATGTGTATTGGGTTGCAGCTGGAAGGGCATTTGCAGCATAAATCATTTAAATAAATGTTTATTCAATAATAATAATAATAATTATTATTATTAGTAGTAGTAGTAGTAGTGGTGGTGGTGGTAATAGTAGTATTCTATTCACATTTTTGTACAATTTAATTGCTGTTTTAATTTAAGTATAGTAGAAAATATAATACCATTTTATTATATATATATATATATATATATATATATATATATATATATATATATATATATATATATATATATATATATATATATATATATAAATAAATAATATACATATAACCAATTACGTTTTTAGCAATGCATATTACCAATAAAAAAATGGGTTTCTGTATATTTATGGTTGGAAATTAGTGGAACAGGATCTTTCATTGTCTAATATTTTTGGCATAAAAGAAAATTAATACTCTGTGTTATTTATTATTTATAATCATATATTTATGTAACATAATACTGATTTTGTGTTCCAGAGTAATTTTAATTTTATTTTATTTTTTATTTTATTTTATTTTATTTTATTTTATCATTCATCAATACAAAACTTACTGTGGTGTTTTTGTATTTAATAAAGTTAAATAGTTTTTGGAGTATTATTATGCCCTAAAATAGCACAAATTCTTAAACGTTACACAATTCCATAAAAAGTATCATTCATGGAGACATTAAAGGAGTAATTCACCCAAAATTGAAAATGTACTAATCAATTATTCATTTTTCTTTGGCTTAGTCCCTTTATTAATCTGGGGGCGCCACAGTGGAATGAACTGCCAATTTATCCAGCATATGTTTTATGCAGTGGATGCCCTTCCAGCTGCAACCCATCTCTGAAAAACACCCATACACACCCTGTCACACACACACACACTACGGCCAATTTATTTGATGCCCTAATTTATTTATTAAATTATTTTATTTTACTTTGTTCTATTTATTTTATTTAATAAAAAGCACTGAATATTAGATAAAAAATAAAATAAATAAATGCTGTTAGAAATTCATGAGGATGCCATTGCAAGTCTATTGTTAATCAGATTGGAGCGTGTCATTATAGAGTAGTACTGCTAATCTTAAACTAACCCAAATATTGCCTCATCATGTTTCATAGCTGACGGCTAATTAGTCCATCAGTCTGAGAATGAAATCTGTGTAGTGCGATCAGCTCGAGTGTTAAACCGTGACATTCATTTCTTCCAGTGGTTTTTGTGAGTGTCTAATCTCATTAGAGCGCCTCTGAACACACTGTCAGCATCAGGTTTGTTTTGCAACAGCTCTCAAACGTTTAAAGTCTTCATTGTTCTGCAACACGGGGCCGAACACTGAGTCTTTGTGCGAGCG